GCCCTGGGGCACTCCCGAGTGAATAGCTCTGAAAAGCGATCGCGTTCTGAGGTAGAGACAGGATGCCTGCCTGCCTCTAAGGTACTAGCAGCACAGCCATCGGACCAGGTTATGATGTAGGTCCGAGGCCGCGATCATGCTCAGAAGGAGAGGGTAGTCGACACTGTCAATGGCCTTCGAGAGGTCGACTGCAGCGGCGACTGTGCAGGCTGGAGGGCACCGAGAGTTAAAACCCGTCGCGATCTGGTGCGCGAGCGGGAGGAGGGCGGTGACTGTGGAGTGTCCCGCTTGAAACCATGTTGCGAGGGGACGGTAGTGAGAGATCCCAAGATGTAAGGGAGCACAAGATACTCTAGGATCTTGGCTGCAGGGCAGAGGAGGGAGATAGGACGGTATGAGGTGCCCTGGTTTCCAGGTTTGCTCGATTTGAGGATTAGAATAATTATTGAATTTTTCCAAATGGATGGGATAGAGGCTGTGGAGATGGAGATGTTAAAGATACGGGTAAGGAGTTGGAGGCCACGCGGGCCGAGGTGCTTAAGATGAAAAACTGTGAGGCCGTCAGGACCCAGAGCGGAAGAGTTGTTGGCCGCTGTGATGGCGAGCTTCACCATGTCAGGGGTGAAAGGAGAGAAGTCCCTGTCGAGGGGATGTTCGGCCCAGATTCGACGTATGAGGCGGCGGGTGGAGGGGCTCTGAGAATGAGGAGCGATCAAAGTGAAAAGCTTGCAGAAGGCGGAGGATATCTTGTGCTGGGGGGAGAGGGAATTCAGACCAAATTGGATTGGCTGATTAGGGGGAGGGCGGTTACGCTTTCTGGCTAAGGAGCGGAGGAGATTCCAATGTTTGGATTGGTTGGTACGTCTGCTGCAAGGCGCAAGATGCGTTCGCCAGGTGTTCCTGGTGTGTGCCTGTATGGAGATGCCGATTTCCAGGTTGAGTTCTGGGAGTTGGGTTGCACGCCCTGATGTCATCCCGTTGCGCGATGAGCAACCGGGTGCCAGGGTTGACTGATGGGGAAAAGTCCTTCCGGAATCCGGCAGGGATATGCTGTCTGGCAGCAGTCGTCAGGACTTCTCTCAAGGTCGACTCTCTGCCACACGAGGTTTGGGGAGGGACCATCTCGAGAGCCGCTTTGATGGCTGCCGTGTAGGTGGGCCAGTCAGCTTTCCTAAAGTTGACTTAAGAGCGGGCGGCCCGGGGGGTTGGGGAATCAGCAGAGGAAGGGAGATGGATTGGGATGGGCAGGTGGTCCGAGTTGAGAGCGACTTGAGGAAACCTGGAGGTGCTGAATTGAAGATGACCACTGATGATGGCGAGGTCCGGAGAGGAGGGCGGGCCACGGGAGGGGAGGTGGGTATTGGAGTCCTCCTTGAGGTAGGCGAGGGAGGAACCAGCGACAAGGTCGTCGACTGCGGTTCCTTGCGCTGCGGCTCTCTGGTCTTCCGTGTGGGAGAACCAAGAGGGATGATGGGCATTAGAATCGCCCACTATCAGGCAGTCACCTGGGATGGAGAATTTGTTGAGCTCTGCGAGCTCTGGGGAGTATCCCGGGGGGCAGGAGGAGGTCGGTGGGATGTATACATTGATGATACAGAGAGGGGAGCCACTAAGAGGGGTGGAGATTGCTATAGCCTCCATGGTGGTGTTGCCGCGTAGGAGGGGAGAGATGTCTTGCCCGGTGTAAGGGGCGTCATGGCGGATCAAGATGAGGAGACCGTCGCCGTGACCTCCGGGGCGGTCCCTGCGCTCCAGCGTGTATCCGGGGAAGGAAGGGGGGTAGGATGCTGCTGATAGCTTGGTCTCTTGGAGACAAGCAACCACCATGTCGTTCTTGGCAAGGTAGGCAGCCAGTTCAACTGCACTGGATTGAACCCCGTTGCAGCTAAACTGGAGGACTTAAAGGTGGGAGGGGGCCAGCATGGGAGGAGACTGGGAGGCGAGGGGGAGGGGGGGCCCTACGACCACACCATCCCAGCTACCCTATCATCACCCAGACATCGGGGCCCCGTCCCATGAAGCACACACTTCAGACTTGCTTCCTCCCTTTGGTCTCTCACCTGCTGGAGGATGGTTCCCTCCCCACCGACAGTACCCCACCACCCTCAGGACCCTGCACAGCTCTGCTGTCTCCTCTTACCTGGCCTCAGCAGCTCCTAACAAAGTGTTGCTGACCCCTGCTCCCTCCGTCTCATCCTGCAAGCTATCCCTTCCCAGGGCGGCCAGAAGCGCCCTTTCCCAGCTCCACTCTGGCTACCTACTCATCGCAGCTAAACTCATACCTTGCCCGCATTGGTGCAGCCAATAGCTGCCCATCGCACCCCACCTCGCTGACTCCACTGGACCTCTGGTCTAACCCTGTACCGACTGCGGCTTTCCTCTGCGGTCAGGAAGAGAAGGATGAGTAGGAAGAAAAGGTGAGAGGAGAGAAGGGCGTAAGGTGCCCCAGGAAAGATAGGCGGCCAAAGATGTGGGTAGAGGAAAGAGGAGGTCAAGATTCCCCAACCCTAGGCCGAAAAAATGAAGAAAGGAGACTCCGTCCGGCAACGATCTGGGCGGGGGGGCCTCTGCCGTTTGGCCTTGCCCTCGAGTATGCCGGGCATCCGGCCGACGTGCAGGCCATGGTACCCTCACGACGTAGACGCGGCAGAGATCAAGGGCAACTGCACTGCACTGCAGGTGGGTGGCATAAACGGGTGCAACTGATAGATATGAATGCTATAACTTTGCCTAAAAGCAGAATTGGACTAAATAAATTTCATTTTAATTGGATTGAATTAATTGGCTCACCATAAGTGAACTTGAAAATGTGAAATTAAATAAAATAAACAAATAAAAATGTTTTATAATAATAAAATTGTTAATTATCATTGATAGGTAGGTACTGATATTAAATATTAAATACAGTAGTTATAATAAATATTTGTGAATATTTGTTATTTATAATATTTATATTAATTCAATTAAGAAATAAGAATAATTGATAGTAATAATAATATTATGAACTGATCATATCTCATCTTGTATCTTATCTCATGCCTCATCTCATGTCTCATCTCATGCCTCATCTCATGTCTCATCTCATGCCTCTCGTGCCTCATCTCATGTCTCATCTCATGTCTCATCTCGTGCCTCATCTCATGTCTCATCTCGTGCCTCATCTCATGCCTCATCTCATGCCTCATCTCATGCCTCATCTCATGTCTCATTTCCTGTCTCTTATACACATCTAGATGTGTATAAGAGACAGCTCATGCCTCATCTCATGTCTCATCTCATGCCTCATCTCATGTCTCATCTCATGCCTCATCTCATGCCTCGTCTCATGTCTCATCTCATATCTTATCTTATGCCTTGACTCATGCCTCATCTGATGCCTTGTCTCATGTCTCATCTCATGCCTCATCTCATGCCTCGTCTCATGCCTCGTCTCATGCCTCGCCTCATGCCTCATCTCATGCCTCGTCTCATATCTCGTCTCATGTCTCATCTCATGCCTCGTCTCATGCCTCGTCTCATGTCCCATCTCTCATATCTTATCTTATGCCTCGTCTCATGCCTCGTCTCATGCCTTGTCTCATATTTCATCTCATGCCTCGTCTCATGCCTCATCTCATGCCTCGTCTCATGCCTCATCTCATGTCTCATTTCATGCCTCATCTCATGCCTCGTCTCATG